ATGCATCGTCTTTTTGCTGAGCTGGAGCCATCTTTAATCGTCACAGAGCAAAACCTGGCAGACCGAGTTCGGTATATCTTGCGCTCAAATATATATTTGAAGTCGCCGAACTCGAACGGCTACGACGTGAGGCTGTTCCCTCGTCGGATGAGAATGCTACGGCTGAGGATGCGGCGCCACAAATGGTTGAGCAACCCGCAAACGTGGATGCCGCCGTGAATACCCCAGTTGTGGTTGATTCAAACGATGATGGAACAGTCGCCCAGGAACTGGAATTAGAGCATATGAGGAGTATATTGGAAGAGGCGATTGTGGAAACGCGCAGTACGCCTCTCGAAAATCGACCGCGACTTCCCCGCATAGCCCTAAGCAAGCGGAATCGGGCTGTCGTGAGGGCTCTGAACCCAATGCTGGTTACCTATTTGGAAGCCAGCCGGGATCTTTGCGAGACGGACTCAATTCTTTTGGCGCCGCGCTGGCAGTCTGCCGTATCATAGGCGCCAAGGTTTCCACGGCTGGACGCGCTACTGGCCATAGTAGCGCTATCCCAGCATGGAGAAGAAGAATTGAGGAACGTATCGCAAAGGCTAGAGCTCTCATCGGCAGACTGATATGCTTCAGATCAGGCAACAACAGGCCAAGAATTGTGCGCACCGTCAGGATGGCGTTTGCTGGGACAAATGTCAGTTTGTCCCAGCCGGATATAACGCAAAAACTGACGGAGCGCATAGATGATCTGAAGCAGAGAATCGCTGCTTGGGGAAAGCGGATTCGGCGATATACCGAGAAGTCGACACGGTTCAACCAGAATCGTCTCTTCCAGAGTGATCAGAAGAGGCTCTATGAATCATTGGAGCGACCAATGGTAAGTGGAACGGGTCCAGCACCGAATCAGGCCGACACTGTAGCATTCTGGCGCGGCCTGTGGTCAGAGCCCGTAAACCACAGCGAGGGCCCTTGGACGGAAGTTGTGGCGAGTCAGTGTGCGGGTATTACGCCCATGGACCCCGTCATCATAACGCCGGATGACGTAGCTGAGGCGGTTCGTAGGGCCCCGAACTGGAAAAGTCCGGGGCTTGATGGGCTGCATCACTACTGGCTGAAGGGGTTCATGGTGTGTCACTCTGTGCTCGCCCGACAGTTTCAAGAGGCTCTCAACCAGAAGTCGCTCCCAAGCCTCTTCACTACTGGGATCACTCATTTAGTTCCTAAAGACCAGGGTACCATAGACCCGAGCAAATACCGCCCCATCACGTGTCTACCGACCATATACAAGACACTAACATCCATTTTGAGCGCGAGAATCACTTGTCACCTGGACTCAAATCAGGTGATGTCGCGCGCTCAAAATGGATGTCGGGGCGGTGGTCGTGGAACCAAGGAACCACTCCTCATTGACGCGGTCATTGGCAAAGTGGTGAAACGCAACCGTCGGAACTTCTCCGCCGCCTGGATAGACTACAGAAAGGCATTCGACTCGGTGCCCCATACATGGCTAAAGAGAGTCCTCGAGCTGTACAAGATAGACTGTACAGTTAGAGACTTCCTCGAGCAGTGTATGGGGCAGTGGAGTACGATCCTTTGTCATCTAGGCGAGCGGATGATGGCTGCGGAGAACCACATAAGGATAAGAAGGGGTATCTTCCAGGGCGATTGTCTGAGTCCAATCTGGTTCTGCCTCTCTCTGAACCCTCTCAGTACCTTACTGGAGGGCTCCGGGAGGGGATTTCAGCTACGGAAAGGAGGGACAAAAGTGACCCACCTTTTCTATATGGATGACCTCAAGTTATTCGCCTCCAGTCGCTCCCATCTTATGGAATTGCTAAACATCACTTGTGAATTTAGCAATTCCATTGGAATGGAGTTGGGGACGGATAAGTGTGCGGTCCTCCATGTTGAAAGGGGAAGGGTTGCTAACTCTGAGGGCGTAGACTTATCTATGCCCGTCAACTTTAGGACCCTTTCCGAGGCTGAAACATACCGATACCTGGGTATGTCACAAAACATCGGTATCGATGAGACTGGTATGAAACAGTCAGTTTGCGACGTGTTTTATGCACGCTTGACCAAAGTGCTTAACAGCCTTTTGTCCGGTGTGAATAAGGCACACGCATATAACGGCTGGGTCATGCCTGTCCTCATGTATACCTTTGGCATACTCAGGTGGACTCAGACTGAACTTAACGCCCTGGATAGAAAAGTCCGCACTACAATGACGTCCCATAGGATGCATCATCCGAGATCGTCGGTAATGAGGCTGTACTTGCCGCGGAAGCATGGTGGTCGTGGCTTCTTGAGCGCGCTCACCATGCATAATCGCGAAGTGTGCAGCCTCCGTGATTACTTCCTGGCGAGATCGGATGATCCATTCTATAAGGACGTCATTTCTTGTGATAAAGGACTTACCCCTCTATCCCTAGCCAACGAGCAATGGCAAGACCCGGCAGTGCAGAGCATTTCCGACCGGGGAGACCGTATGGAAGGAGAAGGAGCTCCACGGGAGGTTCTACAAGGCTCTACATGAGCCTTTCGTAGACACAGTAGCCTCCCTCCACTGGCTACGCTTTGGTGATCTCTTCGGGGGAAACCGAGGGTTTTGTCTGTGCAATACAGGATCAGGTTATTAAGACCAACAACTATCGGAGATACATCCTAAAGGATGGCACCGTCGACATCTGTCGAGCTTGTCGCCATCCCGGTGAGTCACTTAGGCATGTTATCTCCGGTTGTTCGGCGCTTTCTAACTCTGAGTACTTGAACAGGCACAACCTAGTAGCCAGAATTCTACACCAGGAGCTCGCTCTGAAATACGGTCTCGTGGATCGGAAATTGCCGTATTACAAGTACTTGCCGGAAGCCGTGCTCGAAAATGATCGCGCCAGGCTCTATTGGGACCGGGCCATCATCACAGACAGGACTATTCTTGCGAATAAGCCTGATATTGTGCTGATGGACCGGGCACAGTCAAGGATATTTTTGGTCGACATTACCATTCCGTATGACGAGAACCTCGTGAAAGCCGAAACAGACAAGCAAACAAAATATCTGGACCTGGCTCACGAGGTGACCGACATGTGGGGTGGTCTGCCGACCGAAATTATTCCTGTAGTCGTCTCTGCAAACGGGCTAATCCCAGTCAGCCTCTCGGGTCATCTGAGGCGGCTGGGACTACGTGGCGGACCGCTCCAGGTTCAAATGCAGAAGGCGGTGCTCCTCGATACCGCCCGCATCGTCCGCCGGTTTCTTTCCCTTTCCCCCTAACCCTCGGCCGTTTGGTCTCCCCTGCCGAGGGCCTCCATCTGGTTGGGCTTTTATTTATTTATGTACTTTTATATTTATTTTATGTTATTGATATTTATGTATATTTGTCTTTTCATTTTCATTTATAATTATATATTTATAGCACCCAACCAGATGAGAAAACTATATAGATACCCCCAAAATAATAATAAAAATAAGCGGCGTAGGGAAGTGACGACCCCATCGCCCGCTGACGTAACAGTTATGTGACAAAACTGCTACGTCGGCGCAGTCAGTCAGCATCCTGCCAAGAGGTGTGAGCGCCGTGCCTAGGCAAAATTGTAGGTGCAAAGGTCCGTTTGTGCATATGACCCAACCACGAAACGGTGCCGGGTTTGGGCGTCTCCCGTTATTTGGCGCCCATAAAATGGATGATGGCAAAAAGAGGAACGCGCATAGGGCCGCTGCCTGGGGGTCGCCGGGGCGCGTCTGGAGCTGGCGCTGGACGCGGCAGCATGCGGGCCGCCAGCCGAGCGCGAGGAGCTGCACGATCACCTAGCAGCCCCTCGCATCCATCATCCCCACCAGAAGGCTTGGTGTCGGCTGGGTCTTCTCGGACTCAGCAAGCGGCACCCGCCGCTGGTGGAGCACGTCGCATGCGTTGGACAAAACCTATGAATGAAAACGCATTGCGGGCGTACTATAGGGCGAAAGGGGAAGAAACTGTGGGAATAGCGTATAGGTCTCGGATGCATTGCTTTTTTGCTGAGCTGGAGCCTTCTACCCCCGTCACGGAACAAAACCTGGCAGACCGAGTTCGGTACATCATGCGCTCGAAAATATTTGATGATGCCGAACTCGGACGACTACGACGTGAGGCTATTCCGTCGTCGAATGAATCGGCTATGGCTGGAGATGCAGCTCCACATTCGACAGACCAGCATCCACACGTGGAAGCCGCCCTGGATCTTCCCGTTGTGGTTGATTCGAACGACGATGAAATAGTCTCCCACGAACTAGAGAAAATGAGGAGTATACTGGAAGAGGCGATTTTGGATACGCGCAGCACGCCTATCGAAAATCGACCGCGACTTCCCCGCATACCCCTAAGCAAGCGAAATCGGGCTGTCGTGAGGGCTCTTAACCCAATGCTGGTGACCTATTTGGAAGCCAGCCGGGACCTTTGCGAGACGGACTCAATTCTCTTTGGCGCCGCAGTGGCAGTATGCCGTATTATTGGCGCCAAACTTCCCATGGCTGGACGCGCTACTACACAAAGTAGCGCCATCCCAGCCTGGAGAAAAAGAATCGAGGACCGTATCGCAAAGGCAAGGGCCCTTATCGGCAGACTGACAAGCTTCAGGTCGGGTAATAATAGACCGAGGATTATGCGCACCGTTAGGATGGCGTTTGCTGGGACAAATATCAGTTTGTCCCAGCCGGATATCACGCAGAAACTAACGGAGCGCATAGACGACCTGAAGCAAAAGATCGCTGCTTGTGGGAAGCGGATTCGACGATTTACCGACAGGTCAAGGCGGTTCAACCAGAATCGTCTCTTCCAGAGTGATCAGAAGAGGCTCTATAAATCATTGGAGCGACCAAAGGTATGTGGAGCGGGCCAAGGACCGGATCAGGCAGACATTATCGCATTCTGGCGTGGCCTGTGGTCAGAGCCCGTAAACCACAGCGAGGGCCCTTGGATGGAAGTTGTAGCGAGCCAGGGTGCGAGTGTTACGCCTATGGACCCCATCACCGTAACGCCGGAAGACGTGGCTGAGGCGGTCCGTAGGGCCCCGAACTGGAAAAGTCCGGGGCTCGACGGGCTGCATCATTACTGGCTGAAGGGGTTCATAGTGTGTCACGCTGTGCTCGCCCGACAGTTTCAAGAGGCTCTCGACCAGAAGTCGCTCCCGAGCCTCTTCACTACTGGGATCACTCACTTGGTTCCTAAAGATCAGGATACCACAGACCCGAGCAAATACCGCCCCATCACGTGTCTACCCACCATATATAAGACACTGACATCCATTTTGAGCGCGAGAATCACTCGGCACCTGGAGCTAAACCAGTTGATGTCACGCGCTCAAAATGGATGTCGGGGCGGCGGTCGTGGAACCAAGGAACCACTCCTCATTGACGCGGTCATAGGCAAAGTGGTGAAACGCAACCGTCGGAACTTCTCTGCCGCCTGGATAGACTATAGAAAGGCGTTCGACTCGGTGCCCCATACATGGCTAAAGAGGGTCCTCGAGCTGTACAAGATTGACTGTACAGTTAGAGACTTCCTCGAGCAGTGTATGGGGCAGTGGAGTACGATCCTTTGTCATCTGGGCGAGCGGATGATGGCTGCGGAGAACCACATAAGGATAAGAAGGGGTATCTTCCAGGGCGATTGTCTGAGTCCAATCTGGTTCTGCCTCTCTCTAAACCCTCTCAGTACCTTACTGGAGGGCTCCGGGAGGGGATTTCAGCTACGGAGAGGAGGGACAAAAGTGACCCACCTTTTCTATATGGATGACCTCAAGTTATTCGCCTCCAGTCGCTCCCATCTTATGGAACTGCTAAACATCACTTGTGAATTTAGCAGTTCCATTGGAATGGAGCTGGGGACGGATAAGTGTGCGGTCCTCCATGTTGAGAGGGGAAGGGTTGCTAACTCTGAGGGCATAGACTTGTCTATGCCCGTCAACTTAAGGACCCTTTCCGAGGCTGAAACATACCGATACCTGGGTATGTCACAGAACATCGGTATCGATGAGGCTGGTATGAAACAGTCAGTTTGCGACGTGTTTTATGCACGCTTGACCAAAGTGCTTAACAGCCTTTTGTCCGGTGTGAATAAGTCACACGCATATAATTGCTGGGTCATGCCTGTCCTCATGTATACCTTTGGCATACTCAGGTGGACTCAGACTGAGCTTAACGCCCTGGATAGAAAAGTCCACACTACCATGACGTCCCATAGGATGCATCATCCGAGATCGTCGGTAATGAGGCTGTACTTGCCGCGAAAGCATGGTGGGCGTGGCTTTCTGAGCGCGCTCACCATGCATAATCGCGAAGTGTGCAGTCTCCGTCAATACTTCTTGACGAGATCGGATGATCCATTCTATAATGACGTCATTTCTAGTGATAAAGGGCTTACCCCTCTATCCTTAGCCAACGAGCAATGGCAGGACCCGGCAGTGCTTAGCATTCCCGACCGGGAGACCGTATGGAAGGAGAAGGAGCTCCACGGGAGGTACTACAAGGCTCTACATGAGCCCTTCGTAGATACAGTCGCCTCCCTCAACTGGCTACGTTTCGGTGACCTTTTCGGGGAAACCGAGGGTTTTGTCTGTGCAATACAAGATCAGGTTATTAAGACCAACAACTATCGGAGATACATCCTAAAGGATGGCACCGTCGACGTCTGTCGAGCTTGTCGCCATCCCGGGGAGTCACTTAGGCATGTCATCTCCGGTTGTTCGGCGCTTTCTAACTCTGAGTACTTGCACAGGCACAACCTAGTAGCCAGAATTCTACACCAGGAGCTCGCTCTGAAATACGGTCTCGTGGACCGGAAAGTGCCGTATTACAAGTACTTGCCGGAAGCCGTGCTCGAAAATGACCGCGCCAGGCTCTACTGGGACCGGGCCATCATCACAGACAGGACTATTCTTGCGAATAAACCTGATATTGTGCTGATGGACCGGGCACAGTCAAGAATATTTTTGGTCGATATTACCATCCCGTATGACGAGAACCTCGTGAAAGCCGAAACAGATAAGCAATCAAAGTATCTGGACCTGGCTCACGAGGTGACCGACATGTGGGGTGGTATGCCGACCGAAATTATTCCTGTAGTCGTCTCTGCGAATGGGCTAATCCCAGTTAGCCTCTCTGGTCATCTGAGGCGACTGGGACTCCGTGACGGACCGCTCCGGGCTCAAATGCAGAAGGCGGTGCTCCTTGATACTGCCCGCATCGTCCGCCGGTTTCTTTCCCTTTCCCCCTAACCCTCGGCCGTTTGGTCTCCCCTGCCGAGGGCTTCCATCTGGTTGGGCTTTTATTTATTTATGTATTTTTGTATTTATTTTATTTTATTAATATTTATGTATATTTATCTTTTCATTTTCATTTATAATTATATATTTATACATCCCAACCAGATGAGAAAACTATATAGATACCCCACATAATAATAAGTTAGCCTCTCTGGTCATCTGAGGCGACTGGGACTCCGTGACGGACCGCTCCGGGCTCAAATGCAGAAGGCGGTGCTCCTTGATACTGCCCGCATCGTCCGCCGGTTTCTTTCCCTTTCCCCCTAACCCTCGGCCGTTTGGTCTCCCCTGCCGAGGGCTTCCATCTGGTTGGGCTTTTATTTATTTATGTATTTTTGTATTTATTTTATTTTATTAATATTTATGTATATTTATCTTTTCATTTTCATTTATAATTATATATTTATACATCCCAACCAGATGAGAAAACTATATAGATACCCCACATAATAATAATAATAATAATAATATTCCACAACTATCACACAACGCCATCTAGTCCCAAGCTAAGCAGAGCTTGTGTTATGGGTACTAGACAACTGATAAACATACTTATATATTTCTAAATACATAAATATTATAGATAAATTACACCCAGACACAGAACAAATGATCGTGCTCATCACATAAACATTTGTCCTGGGTGGGAATCGAACCCACGACCTCCGGCATAGTAGTCAGGGTCACTAACCACTAGACCAACAGGCCTGTCGTTAACTTGCTTCTATTACTCAGCGAGTTATTTGCTTGAAGACATAATAAACAAATGGTCTACTCAGAGTGAGATTACTGTATCTTGAGGTTTTGCAGTGGTATGCTTGGGCTTATTTTTAATTTTATTAACTACGGTATCCTAAGGAGGTAGGACCCAGCCTCCTTCGCTGTAATGGCGGGGCCCATCTACATCATATTTGATATACAAGTAAAAGAAAAACATCGATTACTACCAAGTATAATACGTGAGGGTATTGAAATTAAATAAATCCTAATTTCAATATAGCAGGTAATTTTTTGTTGTTACTACGAATAAATATAACTTGATTATCGTCGAATTACGAGTGGTTCACGCCAGTAGTCAAATGGCGGATTCGAACCCACGTCCTTTTTGAGTTCGGAGTCCGCGTCCTGCCATTAGGCTTCTGTCGATTTATAGAATAGTATACGTATATTCTGACTTCTCACAATAGAGTGTAGAGCCCCATTTACTTTATTTCCTGCATT